CTTCTGCCTGAGGCACATGCATGGCTGCAGTTCTCAACAGGCATTCATCAGAGGCCTTCTGCCTGAGGCACATGCATGGTTGCAGTTCTCAACGGGCATTCATCTCTGTGCTGGGAACAAGATAAACATTTCTGCCTCTACATAGCTCCAATTTGCTTATCTTTTTAAAAAACATGATTTATTTATTTTTATTTGACATGCATTGGTCTTTTGCCTGCATGTATATCTATATGAGGGTGTCTGATTTCCTGGAACTGGAGTTACAGACAATTCTGAGCTGCCATGTGGGTGCTAGGAATTGAATCCCGATCCTCTGGAAGAACAACCAGTGCTCTTAACTGCTGAGCCGTCTCTACAGGCCCTGTTTATCAGATTTTATTTTTAAAGATTTGTTTTATGTGTTTAAGTGTTTTGTCTACATGTATGTGCACTGTGTGTGTGTACCTAGTAACTGAGGGGGTGAGAAGGGGGCATCCGAACCCCTAGAAATGGAGTTACAAATGGCTGTGAGCTAAAATGTTGGTGCTTGGAACTGAGCCTAGGTCCTCTGCAAAAACAACCAGTGCTCTTATCAGCAGACCCATCTCTCCAGTCCCTATGCATGTTACATTGTGTGTGTGTGTGTGTGTGTGTGTGTGTGTGTGTGCCCCAACGCTCCTGTGGAGGTTAGAGAAAACTTGGGGGAACCAGTTCTCTCCTTTGACTTTGTGGGTCTTGGAGATTATTGTCAGGCATGAGAGCAAGCGCCTTTCTTCATCCATTGAGCCATCTCGCTGGCCCTGTGTGGCTCTTATTTTGGATCAAGTGATGATAGCACAAAAGCCAGGAAATAAGGGCTCTCCATCGCGACGTGCCCTTCAAAGCTAAGCAGTGCCACGCGGTAGAGTTTCAACCTTTTCCTGGTCTGCAGACACATTTGGAGTGACTCACAGGAGACAAGGCTACCTATCAGCCAGAGGTGACAGCCTCTCTGGCTGCTGAGGGTTGGGGGTTCTAATACTATCCCTGGGGGCTTCCCACGTCTCTTAAGATGACACTACCCAGAAGCCAGCCATAGTGTCCTCTGCCCCGCACTCTAGTGTTGGAGAGAGTGCCAAAGGCTGGGGCCTGCACAACTCTGTGCCAAGAACTGGCAGAGTGGCTGCAGCTTGCCCAATTGTTATTTTCCAACGCAGTTCCTGAGAGGGCTGGGGTGGCCTCCTGAGCACTGGGCTGTAAAGGAGGGGCTCCAACTGTTTTCTTTTGCCCTGTGCCGGAAGAATCCTCCACTTTCTCTTTCTTAGACACAGTTCTTCTGGGCCCAAGAGGACCCACTGACACCCACCTGCTCCTGCAGACCATGGAGATGAGGAGGTAACAGGGAGAAAGCAGACACCCTCTGAAAGGCCAGCACTAGAAGGGGGCTTTGGAACCTCACATCTAATTCCTTCATTCCCACTCTAGCGCCTCTAAAGTCCTGGCTGCCCCCCACTCTATGATAGCAGGATTCTTGCATTCCCAAACTGCCGAGCAGCCCTAAATCTGGCTCATTCCCTGGCGCCTCACTCTGTCACTGCAGTAGAACCCATATTCTCCTCCCTCACATCGCAGCCAAACAGCCAGGCTGCTGGATCCTTTGTAGGCAGAAGACCTGAATGTGGGCACCGAGTCTGCAGCTTGCTAACTCAATTCCTCCTTCGGAGGGTAAGGATGATAGAGAAATTAGATCATAAATGCTCAAATATTCTGCAAATACCCTCTTAATACTCCCTAGCCTGAGCTCTCACCCCCACCAAGCACCTAGACAAACACACCTGCAACATCCCAGTGCCTCTAGGAGTTCAGCAAACATAGCCTGGGTATTATTCAAACAGCTTACCCAGGTCTGGCTCATGGACATCTCCAAGCCTCCCCATCATGGCCTTTCAGACACAGGGAAGCAAGTTCTGGGCAAGAATTTACAGGGAAAGAACAGAAAGGCAGATCACTTTATGGGTACTGCCTTGACCTTCATCTGGTGGGAGGTGGGTAGAATAAAATGAACCTCCTCCAGACCAAAGAGGGTGCAGGAAGGGTGGGTCAAGGCTTCTGTTCCATATCTCTGTGCATCAAATCTTTCCCTTATATGTTTTTTATAGTTTGTGAAACCATTTCACAGCCAGGCCTCAGGGGAACTTCAGAACCACACTGTGTGGGCATGCAGCACGTAACAGAATGGCAGTTATATGGATTCAAATGTCTACTTGCCCAGATCTCCGACTTCTAAGCCCAAGCCTCCTTCAGGACCCAGGCTACCTGGGTCATTTAGATGCAGATGGTGGCAGATTCCAAATATCCTTCGCTTTAGCATGGGCAAAACTGGACCTGTTCAGGAAGGGTTTCACCCAAAGATGGAGGCGAACCAGGTGATCCCAAGTGCTGAGAATGGGATCTATCCCAAGCCCACACACGAACCCTGATGACAGAAGAGATAGACACCATCCAAGGTGGAAGAGAGGGGCGCCTAGAAAGGGGCCTTCTCTCCCTCCCCTTCCTGACTGCCCGAGGGTCCCGGTGGGGTTAAAGCTTTCCTGGGGCTCCTCCAGCACCAGGTCCCAGCCGACCCTGCAGGACGGGGTATCAGTTCTCATCTGTTTTTCTTGCTATTTTTACCTTGGTGGGAAAAACTAGACCCAAGACCTTGGCTGAGGTGGGGCAGCTCTCTGGGGCCAGGGGAGACACCCACCTCTCCCTATGCCTGAGAATAGGAAGTTGATGCATGAGGTGGGGTCGTGGAAAATGTCTCCCATTCTTGAGGAAGTCTCTCTAAAATCCAGACCCAAGTCCTCACCACCTCCAGAGGCTACGTTGAGGAGTACTCAGTCCCAGGCAGAACATAGAAACAGCAGGGCAACTTAAAGAGTTAATGGAGGAGACAGGCATGGTAGCCCTTGCCTATGATCCCAGCACTTAGGACCAGAAGCAGAAGCAGAAAGATGAGAAGTTCAAGGTCATTCTCAGCTACATGATAAGCAGGAGCAAAACTATCTACAGGAGACCCTGTCTCAAAAAAAAGATTTAGCAGAAGGCTTTGAACTGGGCATGGTAACTCACACCTATCCATCTGACCCTTGGAAACAGAGGCAGAAGGATCATGAGTTCGTGCCTAGCCTAGGCTATGTAATGATATCCTGCTTCACTACCCCTCCCAAATGCAACTCAAGGAACCAGAGAAACAAGGGTAAGCCTACCACTTCAAGGGTCTCCCTCACTATGCAGAGATTCTCATTACTCTTGAATGGTTCCTCTGGTATTTTGTCTTGATGCGCACATGTGTGTGTGTGTTGTGTATGTCTGTGTATGTGTGTGTATGCATGCGTGTGTGTATGCATGCGTGTGTGTATGTGTCTCTGTGTGTGTTGTGTATATCTGTGTATGTGTGTGTATGCATGCGTGTGTGT